TTCTCATTCCCTCTTTCTCATTCTCTCTCTCCGTTCCGTTAAACACACGTGCGCACAAATGTGCTCGATCGCCCTCCCTCTTGTATCCCGCAACAATCGTTACGTTGACACTTTATCGCCCTACACTCGATAATATCTCAGACGACACCTTCGAGTTTCCCGAAGATCTCATCTCCAGAAAATTAGTTCGATCTTTCTCGAGATTGGTAGCGCGTAGAACGTCAGCCGCGCCATAACACACGCCGGGGAAAAAGGAAATTTTTTGTCATTTGTTATGTTGATGCACGCGATGCACGGTCCCGTACATGAAACTAGAAATACACGATGCTCGATTTCATGTCTTCTGATATGCATGCTGAGCAGCAGACAACTCAGTTCACTGCGTAGATCTACCAATACACGATAGCGAATCATGCAGCAAACTGAACTGCCGATCAGCATGCATATAAGAAAGCATGAAGTCATGTATCGTGTGATTCTGGTTTTAGAGAAATAAATTGAGTCGAGTTGCAGATAATATACGGCGGGTGTCCTTTGATAGTGTAGGAGAAAATTGTTTATTTCCATTATTTGCAAAACGCTTAATCATCGTGTTAACTTCATATGCAAATAGGAAAAATGCCGACATTTTTCTCGATCTATTATAAGATATATATTATTTCTCGTTTACAAAACACGTTTACAAATGCGCATATTCAAGTCCTATTTGTCGGGAATTGATCTCACGGTATTCTCGGGTTTCATTCTCGGCACGCGTGCGTTTTCTGCTTGCCAACGGCCTGTACTTTCGGTTTTATGACTACTCAGCTTCGCGAAAGATATCATGAGAAACGGAAATATGACTGGGTGTACTTATGTTCGCGTGCAAGAAGCGTCTACAAAGTTCCGTATCGTCGGACAGTGTTCATAGTAAACCCTCAAAAACCCTAGTCTCTCTCTCTCTCTCTCTCTCTCTCTCTCTCTCTCTCTCTCTCTCTGAGTTAAGTCCACCAATAGAAAAACCTCCAGTAACTGTAATCTTAGTTCATCCTTATGTATCACGTCGCTCTTCTTTTACCATTCTCACTCGCAACGCACCACTTTGCGCACATACATCCGTACATACACATACACATACATATGTTGATTGCAGTATGCGTGGATGAAATAGGTAATCTTTAAGTGTATGTGTTCTTCACCTAAACCCCTACATTATCTGTGTGACATTCATGTTCCAAGCTACGAACCTTACAGTAACGACAAACCGCTTCGTAAGAGCACAACCGGTTCTTGAAAAGAACGTATCGCAGTGCGCGTCGCGTCGAGGGAGTCCGATTTGATATTGGAAAATATTTCATGACGTATGCTTCGTGCAAAGCGCGTTTCTTGAACATAATATCATCTTCACATTTCACAGTTCATTAGAAACCGTATCCGAGAAAATACTGTAATTAGACATTGCGATCCAGACATACTCATCGTCGCAGACTGATGACAGTTGACAGTACACTTGAAAGGACAAAATTTTCCAAATTGGCTGACGGAAAGTTGTCGTCGACGCACACTATCAACAATCAATCGAATGAAGCGTACTGACCGCGAAAGTTTCAACCGCACTGCGATACTGCTCTTTTTACCTCCCTCCCTTCCGAGAGTGCGAGCCCGATGTCCTCGGTCTGGCGCTCGGAAGCTGAGAGTCCGATCCCGATGGAAATCGACAAGAGGATTCAGCAGCATCAGCAGCAGTCAGTCCACCAGACGAGTTGTCGATAGTGCAGTACCTGCTATATCACTGAGTAGAATTGTCTTTCCCGGTGTCGCCTGAAAATCCCATCAGCAGCATACCGAACATCGTCAACCTTTCCCGATCGTTCGTCCGTTCATTTCTTCTTTGAAGTAGAGCGCAGCTTCCAATGCACGTCGGAAACCCACGTACGAACCACCCATGTCCACGCACTGTCCTTTGCGACGTTACTATGGAAACGGGATGGGCACAATCGCGGTGACTTTGTTCGAACAGCAGCCGCAGCAGTGCGAAAGCCCGAACTTCGGGGACGCGCCGTCGCGTTGCCGGGCTCGGATCGGTTGCATGAAAGGAGCCCCGCATCATTATTCCTCACGTCCGAATCGAAGCGAGATAGGAATTTGTAATCGGACAGCATAGAAATTTCCGCGCAGCGCAGAAATATGGATTCTAACCGAACCGAAAGCGCGCAGCGATACGGACTTGTCGCGGAAAATGTTGCTTCAATTTTGCGCTGCGACACACTCGCGTCCGCGGCGAATCGGCTTCGACAAATTGCTAAATTGTCTGGGTATTATCCCATAGTCTAGATGTAGTTCATCGGCGAAAGACCTGACTACGTGTCCATCTAATGTCGTTCGCCGATGATTAATATCATTAGTTGACAAACTCTATTCTCGGGCAGCCTAGCGCTAAAATCGCGCACTCTCTCTCTCTTTTTTACATCATTGAATCGATGCGATATGTGCGACGGAAATCATCTTAGATATCATCGGTCTTGATCGGTATGAAACCGATTCACGGAGCGATACATAAAAATACCCGGATACGCGCCTAATCCTGGACATTGTTATCATTTTGGTCTTTAAATACGAGCATTTAATTTTCAACATTAAAAATAAATATAAATATATATATATATATATATATTTATTTATCTATTTATTTATTTATTGTATATATGTATATTATAAATGTATTGCGTACAGGTATAACTCATTAAACTGAATACAAAATTTCTCCACTATTTCGCAAACAACCACGTAAAATTTTGAGCTATTTATTAAAGCTTAATTAAAAAAGATTGGTGAAAATAACTATGAGAGATGTGGTAGATGAACTGTGATGGCGATGGTGTTTGCCGTCGTGTGCTTACACGTTAGGTCAAATTGAAAGTCCTCTACCATTTTAATAACTTAAAATTTTACGTGGTCGTTTGCGAAATAATGCAGGAATTTTGTGTTTAGTTGGGTGAGTTTCACCTGTATACATGTGTCATGTCAGGCATTCTTTATGTACGTACAGTTGATGTTGAAAGTTTTAATATTTAAATATTCGTATTTAAAAATGAAAACAATAAGAATGTCCAGGATAAGGCACGCGTCCAGCAATTGGTACTCTTATTTTACTGTTCTGCGTGTTCGTTATACTTCTTTTTGAAATTCCACTACTTTTGTTCACTCCGCAATCGGAGCACGATGCTTCAGGTACACTGTTCGCTCGCTCGCTTGCACTGTGAATCATTAATCATTCGTCCTCTCACGACACACGCTCGATGTAAAAGCGATTTTACTAATGAAGCCGCAGTGTGACGATAAAGCCACCGCGAACACGACGTAGAAAAGAAGTCATCCGAGACTCTGAAACGTCAGAGTGTCACCTGCCTGCCGAGCGTTTGCGAGCGTTTTGCCGGGAACAACGGGCGTCGTCCGATCGTTCGCGGCCAGGAACGATCCTGGAAATTCCGAAAGATCGAAGCACTCTGTGAAGCGGTCGCGCGGGTCACGTGTCTCCGTTGAAACTTCGAACGACGATCTAATCGCGGACTTTTACGACCTGAGGCGAAACCACTGAGTACTTCCGCCAGCTTGCTCCCGCTTTAAAGTATCTCACCTGTTTCTCTTTTTTTCTTCCTTATTTTCCGACATGCGCAAGCGAAACTTTACGTCCGCGCGAGAACCACCGCCGTCACGAGCATTAAAACGCGACTACTTTGTGCCGGTTCGATTTCTCCCGATCTTTGCCCGCGCTTCGATTTCTCCCGATCGATAGAAGACATCGAGAATTCACACTCGAAACTCATACTTCCGCGTCACGCTCATCAGACACGTGTCGCAGAGCTGCGAGCTCGAAATTACTTCGTACAGTCGACAGTCGCAGCAGGTGTCGGGGATGTACGAGTAAACAACAGTAATCTACGCGTACGGTATCTAAGCCGTTTTGTACGGGGATTCAAACCGACGGGCAATAATAACAACGCTCGCTGTTCGCCGTCGGTTTAATTAGATTGCGCGTCAGTAGTATTTCGGCACTCCGCGCTGCCTCAGCGATACTCGCGTGTTGCGAAACGCGGATCAACGGAGCCTATAATTTATAAGACCGTGCTTGCGATTCAGTTCCGCGAGTCTGCCATCCGTCGATTGGTATCTTCAACTACCGACAAGAGTCGTGTCTCTCTGTCTCTCTGTCTCTTCTTCTCTTTACGACATTATCGCCGCATTTCGCCGAGATTTCTCGAATTTCGTGTGATATCAGCATCAGCTGGCTATTAACACTTGTCGCGTTAACAAGTTCAAGATACCGAGATCCAAAGATATCGCTGATCCAGTGCAGAATCTTACACTGCGAATGGTACGGTACGAACGAGACATCTCTCTCAAAAATAGCGAGTATAATTTCGACAAGTTCGGATTTCGATGCTGTACGCCAGAATGACCTTTTTGCGTTTATATATATATGTGTATATTCGGCGCCAGACAGCCGAAATGAAAACATGACAACGGATGCGAGGTTCATTTCGTTGTAACTGCAGCATCGAGAATTCGATTCGCCGAGATTGTAGCGTTTTCAAATCGGTCTCAAGATATCTTACGCATAGATTATACGCGAAAGCCCAACGCTCTCTCTTTCTCTTTCTTTTTTTCTCTCTTTCTCTCTTTCTCTCTCTTTTTCTTTCTCTCTTTCTCTCTCTTTCTGTCTCTCTCTCTCTCGTAGCCGTCGAGGATACGAGTCATCTGTCTAATAGTACGAGGATCTAGTAAAGCCTGCATGTGCCACACACAGCAATGCGCACCGTGCATCTCGGAAGCGTTGACGCGTGCGACCCAACCGTAGGTGCTCTTTTATCGTTGATTGTGTCATTTTTATCACTTTATTTCCGTCCCCCGCGCGACGTGGCGCGCGGCGGGCTCCGATTAATCCGTTACTAACGCTTGGTGCGACTTTGAACGTATTAATTAATTGATCTTCCTTTTTTTCTGTTTCCTCAACACTCTAGTTGTTCAGGATTAGGCCTCTGCCAGTGTTAGTAAGTACCGCCACTTGATCTGGTGTGATTGGACTGCTGTAGTTAGACGGCTATGCGTATATACATATATAATTATTATATTTATCTATATATATATATATATATATATATATATATACACATTATGCACACAACACACGCACACGCATACACACGCATACATACACAACACAACACGCACACGTGGCTCTGACTGTCTCTACTCCTATTACCTGTACACGCCATCGCTGAAAAGTAGGACTCTACTCGGACTTTCGCGTCTATCGATTTTTCTTTCCCACTCCACGTGTCTTTTTTTCTCTTTATCTCTCTTTCTCTCTCTTTCTATGCGCGACATCTCTACCTGGCGATACAATTTATCAAGTGCGAGTAATACATAACGATATGTTCGCTTATACGCCTGTACATGAGAAAATTCCTATTCGCATGGACGCTCAGAGGAATGCTTTAGAAATAAAGGAAATCTGTATGAAGCGTACGATCTCTCTACGATATTAGACGTAGCTTAGAATCATCATTATCGTTGCTTTAATCGTATCATGAACTACGCTGTTAAGAGACATGTTCATTTCGGTCAAGTCTTTGATAGGATACGTGTAGTCGAATTCTTTGCAAAATTTTTTTGATCGAATTTCGTGAATTAGAGTAAACGACGTAATTCCTCTCGTCATTTCGCGCCCGTAGCGTATTGCTTGTAATTTTGTACAAGAAAGGACGAGTGAATTTCACAATATTCATGTCCATTCTGCGCTTCACCCTGGGCGTCCGTGTGTTTCTTGTCAAAAGAACCTTCACTTCTCAAACGACGCACTTGACGTAATTCGTGAATACGTGATCCTCCCAAGCGGCCGAGCGGCTCGAGAACGTGTGGCTCCTCGTCATGCTTGAACAGGGCATGCTCGACATTCTCTCAAAGGGAGGCTACTTGCCAACATGACGCTGGAACAGACATCCACTTCTGAAAACGGATAAAACGCTCATGTACCAATAATTCAACGAGCCACGCGTTCTCAGACGTTACACGATCTCACGGTCAACCGAGTGACAATATCAATTCCCGTGCATTCGATCCCCCGAGAGATCCGGAGGCTACGTAGCCTAACGTTGCGATCATCGCACTTTTCGGAGTAAACGTAAGTCACTTAGTTTCGTTTTACACCCTCTCGCGTGTCTCGATCCTACCACGGAAGTGTTTTTTCCTAAAGAGAAACTTGTGCGAACCAATTTTCACGATAACGTGTGTGACTTGTAACTTTTTTTCATACATCGTACCATTTTTACTTTTTTCGCATTATCGGTTACAATCGAAATGGAATATTTTCAACCTATGTCGGGGGTCAGCGTCACCGGAAATGATGGCAATCTCCCTCCTCCCTCTAACTATATAGACATGTGAAACTCTCATTGCCTACTTTAAAACTGTACGAATATTAAATCGGCTTAGCGAGACGTGTAATAAATGATAAATCGGAATATATGCGCGTGCGCTCGTGTCATAAATTAATCACATATATTCGTATCAGACGGAAAGATATATATCCTTTTACGATATCAAAATTTCATCAATTGGCCAGTGTTAAAAACCGCAGGATATATTCAGCCAGCGCTCTTCAGTCGCTAATTTTTGCCTGCCCGCCGCACTGGTTTTAATTAGTACATACGCGTTAATTGGTCGCGAGTCGCCGATACTCGGATTTTGGGACAACTGGAGAAAATTCCTAGTTATAATTAGAATCGATACAATTACGATGTATCTATACCGAGGCGAGTAATATTCGTACAGAATCAATAAACTTCCTCGCACTCCTACATTGACTCTCTCGTCATCCTCTCCCCGTCTCACCCTCTCTCTACATATATATATATATTTTTTTTATAAAAAATTCCTGCGACTTCATCTCGCGAATGATGGTTGCGTTAATCAAGAGCCAATCTTGTCGTCGTCACTATCGCAATCATATTATTCATCATACCTATCGTCTCATGCGTCGTTCTTCATTCACACATTCATGTAGTGGCCGCGCGCATATCTCTGCATCATGCATTTTCGGTATGCGTGCGTTGCGCTCGCGCGCGCGTGTGTACGTGTGCGTCTGTTTTTGCGTGATGTGCAGCAACTAGTGCTTGAGCTTCTTGTAAAACGGAACCACTCGAACGTGTACATACATATATATATATATATATATATATATATATATATAAATATATATATATATGTGTGTGTGTGTGTGTGTGTGTGTGTGCGCTTCCACGCGTGTTCGTGTTATGCATCGCTAAAGAGAAAAAAGAACGACATTCAAATCTCAGCGCTAGTTGACATTACGACAAAAGAGCTCGCGCAACACTCACGTGTCCACCCTTTTGCCACTCCTTATCCTGCTCCCGACGAACGAAGAATTCTTCCGAGCCGATGAATGTGTATCGATTGACTGTAAAAAGCCGGAACGACTCTCTTTTTTTTCGAGTCGACGACCTAACGACAGCGTACCGACTGCAAAACGTCATACAGCGACGTTCAGAGACCGGCGAGCCGATATTTCGTCTGGAAATTCGCGTGACACCCCGTCCTTCCTAACTTTTAAGCGATGTGGCGAAATCGAGCTACGAGTCGATCGCTGGTCGTACCCGCCGTGACATGTAAATGTGAACTCGGCGTCGTCGTTAAACGCGCGCACCTCAGAATATCGACACTACAATCTTGACGAACTTTGTGCGAGCGCTCTCTATATATTTGCCATTGATATACTTTTGTACATTCTCTACATTACGTACTATACCGTTACTCTTTGCAAGCAGCTATTGCCGTTGCTTCACTACGTCGCATCTTCCGCTTTCCTCGCAATATCTAGATTCGTTTCGCTATGTCTAGCGCAGCTATTATATGTAGGTCTATCAGCGATCGATATAGCCCGTAGAACGATACTTTAGTCACGTCTCATCGTCGAGGACCTATTGTCTCGTTAATTAAGACTTTTCTCACTAATCCAATGGATGTCAATGATTTCACCGTGGATCTTCAATTATCTCACGTATTAAGCTCCTTCCTCCTTCATAATCACTCGATATAGTTTCTCGTGTAATTCTCTCCCGTTTAATATGTCAGCGCGGAGTGAAATCCTTGACGTCACATACGAACGACGATTCGACGACGACACGACTCTACTATTACTACTACTACTACTATCACGCTCGAATCTCAACCATGAGCTATCGTAACATGATTTTCTACTGCACCAACAGATTTTCGTTCGGGCGCAGTTCGACTATGATCCGCTGGAGGACGAACTGATACCATGCGCACAGGCTGGGATTGCCTTTAAAACCGGCGATATTCTGCAGATCATCAGCAAGGACGACCATCATTGGTGGCAGGCGCGGAAGGATAACGCGGCTGGCTCCGCGGGTCTTATCCCTTCGCCCGAGTTACAGGAGTGGCGCATCGCCTCCATGTCAATGGAAAAGAACAAACAAGAACAAGGTAATCAGCCTCGATGTCCACGTTTGTACCTTCGTCATATTATACGATTATCCATATATTGGAACAAGACGGAATAATGTTTTTAATATCAAAATAATTCTACACACGCAACATTTCGTGTCAATAGCAAGAAACTCACTGCGCGATTTCAAATTAAGAATTTCTCCCTTGTCGTTCAAGGGGATGCCACACTTGACAACTTCACCAGCAAAATACCGACATTTCTCTGTAAAGTTTATGTTGCATTGATTGTACAGAATTACAAGTGTTTTTACACAATAAAAATATATACAAAAATAATAATTAGAGTCTTATTATATTTTTTATTATATTTTTATTTTATTTTTTATTGTTTTTACCACATATTGGATAATACTCCAGTTCATTTCTCATACGTACATTTGCTGTGTAAAAGCATTTATAATTCTGTACAATCGATATGTTGTAAACTTTGCAGAAAAATGTATTTTGCTGATAAAGTTTTTAAATATGTAACTTATAACGTTATCCTCGAAATCTTTTACATACAACGTTTTGTTATAATAATTTTTTATAGTGATCCACTCTCTATACAAACAAATTAGCAGAATCTATCAAAAAGCATTAAAAAGCGTGTTTTAAACAAAACGCGAATATCGACAACATCGAACTCACATTCGTGTAAGATCTGTATGTAGAAAAAGTATATGGAAAGAAATACAAGAAGAGGATAGCGTGATAACATGAAGCGTCTATTTAACGTAATATTTTGACGGTCGTCTTTGTTCTGTAAATATCTATATATACACAAAATCGATAATGTCGGTAATAGATGATAACGTACTCGACATTTTTAGTTTCATCCAGACGAAGGAGTTTTTTTTTATCAGAGTTGGTCTCTCATGCATTTGGCATCCCCTGAATGAATTTATATTACCGTTTCTCACATGATTCAATTGTTTCTGCAGTTAGATTTTCAAACGAGAAGGTATCTTGCAAAAAAGAAAAAACGAATAATGCAAATATATTCGATAGTGACCATGGTAGATGTTAATCTCGGAGATATTCTCTTTACTATCTTCCGTCGACCAATAAAACATCGGAAGACGATAAAATTTTCCGCGCAACAACCTCGTTATGGAAGTTTTAATGGTATTACGGTATCTCGCAAAGGCAGAATATAGAGCGCACTAGAGCGCTCAGTGTGAGGATAATTTCAATTAAAAATCGGAATAGGATGGGTCTTTCTGAAAATCACTGGTTCCAGCAGATCGCAGAATTTCTTTCGACTGCAAGATCGCGGAGAATCGGAATTCCACCGATTATGGAAACCGTCGTTACGTGACGTTCTTTCACTGACGCTCGATCGATTCATTGTCATCCAGTCGCATCTAACGATCGATTTCCCGCCGATTTTCACCGCTGCGCAAAAAACGAACACGCTCACGAACACGATGTCGTCTGTGTGTTATTCGATGTGTACAGATTTTTCGATGGAGCATGTGGTATCGTGTGTTATCAATCAATTATATATCGTAAAATGGGATGCGTATCGGCAGTGTACCATTCGCTCACGACAGATTAGCTGGGTAATTATCGCTGGCGTTTAATCACAGGCCGCGTCCCGGAACGAAAACAAAAAATAAAAAGAATTGGCAATTGTGACATAACTTCGTAATTTACTACCGATCGTTCGAAATGTGTTTCTTTTAATAGCTGGAAACATGCACGTTTCCCGATGAGAAATATCACCGTTGTTAGGCTCGTGATAATAATAAATGCAATTTCCATGTCGAAGAATAATAAGTATCGTGGTAATAAATAAATGCAATTTCTATGTTAAAGAAATGAGATTCACAATCGAGCAAGTATATTCAGCACCAAATTTTGGATTGCATTCACTGAAGTTCATGATTGAAGTTCATTGCATTTGTTCCAATTATATCTTTCGATTATAATAACACTCAAAAATCTCTGGTATCATTTTAGACATTATTCTTGGAATGAAATTCTTTAAATTCGTATCTCCTATCGAAGTTTGAAGCTAGAATGTTCCTGCAACTGCTGGCTAAATATATCTTTTATCAGCGGATGCTGAAAATAAAGAATTAAACGTAACCGCTACTTCTGACAGCCGCCACTTAAGTCATGAAGCTTTAATATCGTTTTTATTTTAGTCGTAAAATGTTTTAAAGATTAAACGTGTTGCTATAGAGAAGACCGATAGAAACGATCGACAGAAAACATCAAGCCATATACAAGACGGTTCGTCGTTTCCGCATTAGACTTTAAATACACGAGGTGTCATGTTCGTGCGACTGATTCTTAATCGATTTTTTCTTAATAAAAATTCCGCTGCAGATTGTCAAGAATTCTTTAAAATAAAAGAAGTTCTTTTTTAAAATAACGTTTTCTCGATGGTTAATTTCCGGGCGAAATTGTTGCGGCTACGCTCGATAATAACGAGAAAAAGAAAAAGCGAAAAGATTCCTTGTCGTCTTCAACTACAGTAAATTCATCTTTTTCGCACGCGACTTATTTTGCATAATATACATTCGAATCGGGAACGGTCAATTGAGAAAAGAATTACGATGAAACGGCGAACGAGAAAACACGAAGGTACGTAGAAACAATTTCGCGGTTTCGGTTCGTAACGTCGAAAGGTAACAGTCTAATTGAGAATTGCGGTTATAAAGTTATATGCAAATCAGGAGCTGAATGCTTTAAGAACACGCCTAGCGCGAGAGAAAGGGTGGCAGGGAAAGAGAGGGAGAGAAAGTGTGTATATGTGTGTGTGTGTGTGCGTGTGGTGTGTCGGCTCGTCGTGTATCTCTATGTGCCTGTCGACGTAAGTGGCTGGCATGGAGGAGAGGATTAGGAATAGACAAACGGAGAGCAAGCGCTCACTGGAATAATTAGCTGCAGTGATATATCTGTTGTTGTGTGTTATGCGGGGCTAGACGCTGAAGGAGAAGGTGGATGTTCTTCTCACACCGAAGGCTGCGACGGCTCGACAGGTACGTCTCTGCCTTCAGGTAGACACGTGTAGAGTCAGTCACGTAGGACCGTTTTTAGACGCATGAAATACAGACTGGACCCATGCTTCTAAGTACACGCATCACTTACAGAGAAAACGAACGACAAGATATTCGATTGATCGAAAGAAGTAGGATAGAACATCTGTGCCTCGATTAACGAAACTCGCGGGTGGACGACGATTGTCGATCGCGTTCGTGGTGCGCGACCATCTCCAAGCTCATTTCATTGTGTAGAATTAGTCATTCTTTTCTAATATATAAACCAACAACATTCGCGCAACATCTTCACATTGTACGATATTTGCTTCGCAATATTCGATAAAATGACGAAACAATGAAATGTGGGCGTGGAAGAATTTGGAATTTATTTGATTTCATCTTGTAATTGGCAGTAAGCCGGTTGTTTCTGCTAAGAAGAATAAGTTATTTGGATAAGTAGTTCGGAAAGCACATCATCTGTTTCTTCTCCCGGACGAAGCTTTGACATAATGTTTTACATTTTACACATCGCTATGCTCTATGAAGAAGGTGTATATGTATCAGGCTTGTTACATAGTGCAGTAAATATTCATGCAACATGCGCAATAAATAATTGTTAATTTCATAAAAACCGCAGTTGCAACGCTAAGCTACTTTCCACCGAAGAGGAACACAGATCTGCAATAATTTTGCTCCCCCTCTCTCTCTCTCTCTTAGAATTCAGTAATTGCTTCTTTAAAATAAGTTCTGCACTCTGATTTCAAGAATGACATTAATTTTTATCCATCACGTACGGATCCTCGGGGAGAACTGTTAATCGTTCAACTATACAATTTGCAGAAATATCTTACGTGATGCATGAAAATGAATGCCAGTTTCGTAAATTTCAGTGTCTTTAAAACATGTAAGATCAAGGACCGCAGTAACAAAGCAGCTTTCACAAGTTTTCATTTTTCAGGCCTGCATACATGATTTTGTGTGACGTAATCTATAAATTATTACGAGCATAATGTCAATAACAATATATTAATGTAAGCGACATGGCATTCTGTGTGTAATAAATCAATAGATGCTTTTACACAGCGTGCTTCAATGCATGCGGCCGCCACAGAAAAAAAAGATAAAAACAACGTTTCACGCACTTCTCTGCTTGTCTCGCACGACCTCACTCGCAAACATATCGCGGCAACACGATTATAATCGGAGCTTACTGCGGATAATCAATCGATCGTTCCGAATACTGACGGACAACGATATCCGGCGAGTATCTTGCCAGAAATTCCGGAGACGCGATTTTGACTTCTTAACTGTATTCTAAGGTCCCGGATAAAGATCGCGGCGTTTTCCAATGCGTTTCTTCAGTCGACAATCTCCCGAATATTTTGGCAAGATATCGCGGGTTTGCACAGTCGTGCTATCACGCGAAACTTCAATCTACGATGTAGTCACACGCGGATCCTCCTTGGTGCAGTAACCCGGCAATCGCGGGAGGATAACACTCTCACGATATTCACCGTGGCTCCGATTATGACGCGTATATTCAAGGTCTCACGCATTAATCTCTTACACCACGGACCTTACAATGTCATCTTGTGACCTGCTGGAACACCCCTTTCAATATAGGACTCCCAAGTGCCTTTTGGGCATGGCTTCTTTCGAACTGGCTGACTGAATGAACTCTTTTTATATCGATATAGACAAGATCTTGCTTGACCCAGGAAGTGACGTTGTCGCCAAGTAGCAGTCCGTCGCTTCACGTCGGCGTGACTCTCTCGTTAATTCTCCAAGTTGTTATTTCGAGGGACCGTCACGATTGTGATGTGCATGCACATTGGTGCGTGCCGCGTCTCCGATAGGGATAGTGTCGGGCGACGAGTGTATATTTAGGAAACATGATCACACGAGATGTCCTAGCGACGTGAACGATCTTTCTTTGCGAATGACTTCTGCGGGAAACCACCTCTCCGTCGTGCCCATTTTTCGTCAACAACGTAACGTATGTCGCGCATTATCGGTCGATCTAGTTGAAGAGAAAACTTAGTACATTTTTGTGATCTATATTGTAGAAAAGTCGTTATTTTTTTCTCATAAAAAAATCCGTCACTTCACTCTCTGACGCGATTTTTGGTGCGTACACGTACGCGTATACGTATACGTAATGTACGTAAATTAAATTCACTAGTCGATCTCGCTGCGCGATATTCACGGAATCGCGATCGTCCCCTTGAAATCGATTTAACGGCCGTCCATCGACATCTTCAAAGGCGTGCAACTCTTTTACTTAACACGGATAATGGATTTCGTAACGTGACACTTGCACGGTAATTTGCAAGTTTACGTTGAATAAGCGTCTTCGGGGCAGGCGGAGGCGGCCGCGTCTCAAGTTTCTCATTAACGATCCTTTCTTGTTTGCAGTAAATTGCTCAATATTCGGCCGGAAAAAGAAGCAATACAAGGATAAATATCTCGCTAAGCACAATGCTGTTTTCGACCAGCTGGACCTGGTGACCTACGAAGAGGTCGTGAAGCTTCCTTGTGAGTTTCGCACGTTATTTCGTATAATTGTCACGCGATAATTAATTATGTATTTCATTATTCGTATAATAATTAATTGGAATTATTTACTCGTATAATAATTGTGATTCGTATAATTGATTTAACGTGAACGATCAGTGCCTACCTGCTTTCCCACGCTCGACTGCGCGACTGTTGAATTTATCCATAAATAGTTTCACATAAAATATACGCGTATTATGACGCACATGAAATATCTAGATGTTGATCTCCAGAAATATTCTAACACTCTATCTTTATCTTTGCAGATCCTGCCTTTCAGAGAAAGACATTAGTATTATTGGGAGCACACGGTGTCGGTCGACGACACATAAAGAACACAATTATCTCCAAACATCCCGAGAAATATGCCTATCCTATTCCGCGTAAGTATCTCGAAGTTTGTGTAATATTTCAATATAATAAAGTTACTTGTTATCAATAAGAAAATAAATGAAAATATATAATGGAAAATGTCTTTTTACCATGGAAAAAGATTGTGAAGTTAAATAGTTGTGAAAAATACATAGAGAGATATGTATATCGAATTTAATTGGTTGATGCGCAGATACAACGAGGCTTCCACGAAACGACGAAGAGGATGGTCGTAATTACTATTTCGTATCGCACGACGAGATGATGGCAGACATAGCCGCTAATGAATACCTCGAATATGGTAAATTGAAAAGCCGCGAGAGCTAATCCTCTCCCGATTAAAGTTCCCTCATCTGAGACTTAATCTGTTTTTCTTATGAACAGGTACGCACGAAGACGCTATGTACGGAACTAAACTCGAAACTATTCGCAAAATTCACGAAGAAGGCAGAATGGCCATATTGGATGTCGAACCGCAAGCGCTGAAAGTTTTACGTACCGCTGAATTTGCACCTTACGTCGTCTTCATCGCCTCACCAGTATTTCAAAACGTTACGGACGTAAGTATAGCAACAAGCTCCGAGGGAGAGCTTGAAGAATAAACTTATATATTGCATATTTTGAATATTTCCCTCGCAGACCGCCTAGCATCGATCGATGAGAACGTGTTTTATTACAATATGAGATTTATTGGCGGGCACGCGAGTATATGCAATACAAGCAAAAATGGGATATTCATAAATTCACAATAAAATATAGATACATCTTTTCGTATAACCTTTGCTATTATTTCGTACAATGCATATAGCCGACTGTTTAAAAATGTATGTCTCAACATACACATTGTGTGCCAACAATAACCTAATTACAAATTTCGTCATGTTTATTTGAACGTTATATTCTCGAGACTCTTGGAGCGCGCTTATTCATCGATCGCATTTACATTTAAGCTCATGTATACAATATTAAAATAATAATGTATATTTCTCATTTGCATAGATAACCGCGTATCCTATTTGCGTATCAAATATTCTATAGTACCAGATAATTAATTAAAATACAATATATGCAGAAATACGATGTATGCAGAAGACGTTCCATTCGATCAAGCTATAACCCGGTCTATAATATTGGCTTTAAAGTGTTCGCTGTGAAATGTGATTAATTGTCAAAGAGACTTCATTCTATAACAGTACATTCTGCAGCGCACTAACGCAATATCTAGTTAGGAGGCAAAGGATCCATCAAAGAGTACATGTGGGGAGAACACTGATATGTGCAAATGCTCCCCGATCCACACCGAAATGTGGCTCACAGTTCTTGATTCATAGCTAACAGCGTGAGTCGGGAATGCCTGCACGCCAATTGAGCAATTAAGCCAACTATTCAGCGATCTTCACATGAATAATGGATTTAGCGAATTAATCGGGCAAACAATCATCGGCTCACTTGTTCCTAAGTGAATTGTTGTCTCTAACCGATCAAAATCTGCGAATGTACTCTGACCTGAAATCGATCAAGAACGGCGGGCACTCTATACATGTGACAGTTCTATAAATATAATATACACACGTTAATAAACAATAAGTATGTGCTCATCGCGAACGCTTTACAGTATATAGAATTAAATGCCCAAATCCCAATATTATCCGTCTCATTTTTAATTAAAAGATGATTTATTTAATATTCGCTGTATATAATGCAGTTAAATATACACATAATATGTCCGATATGAAATACGCTCTGTAGAAAGTGTAAAGCATAGAAAGTGTGATAGATGATATTCTTTTCATTGCGAGACGCGAGAGGTTCTCAAGATATAACCGATGGAACTATTGAAGTTCGACGATCACTTGTGAGTCTGCGCCGATAAACGATGAAAAGAGTAGAGCACTTCGATCTGTTATCATCGGACTCGATTTATTATCCGAGTTTATTATCCGATTCGTCCCTTCCGATCGTCAGTTTTTACGCAGCCATATCGTGGAATCCACAAGAGATGGATCGACAACGATTTTTTTTAAATATCGCTTGTGCTTTCCAGCTTGATGGCAGTCTGGAACGACTGGCGAAAGAGTCGGACATGCTGAAGCAGGCGTACGGGCACTTCTTCGACCTGACCATCGTGAACAACGACCTTGACGAGACGATCGCTCAACTGGAGGCCGCAATCGAGCGCGTGCACACGACACCTCAATGGGTGCCCGTCTCCTGGGTCTACTGACAGCGGTCGTCACCGATTCGTCAGATCGTCACTGCGGATTGCAACGGCTCGTCGCGAGTGAAGTAGTGATCGTCAGAACGACCTGTGACGACCATCGGACCGACACCTCGATCATCTCGCGAAGATCCGACGGAGAGAACGCGCCGGGACCGACCACAACCGGCCCGCGGCCGATTGATCAAAACGGGCGCACGTGCACGCGCACGTCGGACCAAGCCACAAACGTGCTCACCGCCGATCGGCTGACGGTGAACGAACGACCGGAGTGACTATAGGATGGCCGTGTGTTCACGAAGTTCTTTCCATCGCTGCGTAGCTCATTATTTTTACCAGTCGAGACACGAGAGGAGACCAACTACGTGTCGTCCTGATCGTCGTGTCGTCGACGATCAATATCGCCGTGTCGTCGACGATCAATATCGCCGATTTCACCGACGAGACGTTGGACCTACTGAAGAAGAGGATGATGAGGAAGACAAAGTGTGCAACGACGGGCATGACGAAATCGAACGACGTCACGATGCATTCGGAGACGGATGCTTTCTCGCGGATCACCGATTCCTCCGGCATCTCTTCTTCTTCCTCCTCGTCATCCTGCTTCTTCTCTTGTTTCTTCCTTTCTCGAATTTGGAAGATGACAAAATAAAGCGGGCAACATCGATCAGCTGGGACTCCTCTTGAACGAGACTACTACGAATGCGTGTCTTTCTCTCTATATTCCACACATACACACATACACACGCTCTGTCGTATTTCCTAACACATTCCTGGCGCGGTTTCAGCGAGTCCACGCGTAACCTCTTGCGGCTCATGACAGTCGCTCGCGAATGCGAATCATGTGCAGTGACACGGTGACGCGGCGACAAGCGCCGAAGAAAATCTTTAACAGTACGCGGAAACCAAAAGCCGAGAAAAGTGGGGAAAAGAAAAAGAAACGACGGCCGTTCATACTTCCTTCACACGAACGTCAATGGAGAGCGGCATGCACCTTTGTATTCCCTTCCTACCTGCGGAATCTATCAGTCAAATTTTCCGTAAACTGTAATTGCCTCCTATCTCGTACTTTATCGTAACTATTTAAACGAAAAGAAGCTAGATCGTGCGGCACGGCAGTGCCCTTATATATATACATATACATATATAATATATATAATATAAATATAAAATAAAAAAGACGAGTCTCTAATCGCAATAATCGAAACCCGTCTGATCGTTCAACCAAAAAGGAAAAAAAAGAAAAGAAGAAGAAAAAGAAGAACATAAACTGGTGTGCTGCCGGCCGTCCGTTATTTAACTGTAACTTTAAGCAGTAGAGAACTTCGCCGGTTTTGTCTAGTACTTCTACTAATATCTAACGAGTGTTCATCTCTTGCGCCGCGGGGAAACCCACCGCGGCGAAACTACGCGCGAGCGCTTCTTTCGTTCGGCTATTCTTTTTGTATTTTTTCCCCAATTGTGCTATTCTCTCTCTCTTTCTCTCTCTCTCTCTCTTTCTTCCCTCTCCCCCTTCCTCTCTCCTCTTTCTCTCTTCTCTTCCTCCTCTCTTTGCCTCCTTCTCTCTCTTCCTCTGTCGATTTCTATCTATTTCTAATCACTGTAACACCATGCTTCTCCAATCTTTCTACTTTAGACAATCGAGACCGCCGTCGAAGTGGGACAACTCGCTCGCTTGTTCATTCCCTTGACCGTGCACTCGCCCGTTCCATTGTCATTCGTCGTTATTGTCGCACGTGGAACACACTTAATCGCAAGTCGTACACTCACCGACGCACCAAGCCGCCTATCGACGAACTCGCTTACCTCTGTTACCATTTACGCTCGAGAAGCCCGAAACCGGACCGCACGTACCTCGGGCGAATGCACGGACGGCGGATATCGATCCCACGGCGAGAATTCTACGCTCACTCGAAAGCACCTGTACGCGATTATTAAGTTGGTTATACGAGACGTACGTACACACAGACACACTTACACGCGTATACACACATATAATACGAGCACACGTCAAACTATACAATATCACTCGGTTCGCATTACACCCTCGTACAAAAGCGCATAATCGAATTGCGGAGCAACAAAAGAAAAAAGAGAGAGAGAGAAAAGAAGAGAAAAGAAAAGAAGAAAAAAGGAAAACGCGGTTTACTATAGAATATTTATAAAACGTAAACTTTAAATAAATAGATAGTTTATCAGCTATATGAAATAATACTGAGACACAGAGGCATTACACACGTATGATACACGTACATATACACACATATGCGCGCACGCGAGCGCCCATACATGCGCACATACACGCACACAGAGATACAAATACAGAACATAGCCACACAACATGTGCACGCACATAGAGAAGTATGTATGTACGCGCGCGTACGCACACAGTGGTCGCATGCGCGCGAGTACAGGTTTACAAGATACAGATTTAACGACTATAGGTAATTAATTTACGAGTGATTAAAAGAGAAAAAAATTAAATGTACGACTAATTAATACTGATGAATTACTAGGAGACTAATAGGCGATTTGCGTATGCATACGCCCGTAGAACGAAGGAGAGTGAATGCGGGCGAATGGTGTGATAGTTTAGCGGTATGGTGTGATAGTTTAGCGGGCGCGTGGTGTGATAGATTTAGCGGTAAACTACGTTGCGATCGATCGGACGGCTCATCGCAACGGATCTCTGTTCCGGGAGGCATTCATCGACGTGTCGACGGTCGCCGCCACCAATGATCTCGAAACATATGTTATAACACGAGCGAACGAACTTATGCGCGCGTATGCCGTGTGTCCCTCGGTCCCTCTGTGCGTTCTTCCTATACCGTACGCTGCACGATCGCGGACGCGAAACGGCGCGTCCGGGTGGTTGTCACGAGCGCTCGATTACTATATATTTCAGAAACGCGCGTAAACGAAGGGAAGAGGTCTCACGGACGACGTCGTAAAACGAAGGGTTGCTCTTTCTTGCGAGGACCGGAGACTGTGCACGCACCGGACAGAGCCGATTTTTCATGGAGCCGAATGCAATCTCGTCGACTGAGATCGCGCGATCGTTTGTGCGCAAAAACGAAGAAAGAAAGAAAAGAAAGAGAAGGAAGGGATCGCTCGTCTCGGTGTGATAGCGTTCGTATGCGTCAAATATTGTGCAAGCGCGAGAAGAATGCGAGTCACAAGTGATTTTGTAATATTTCTTATAAGTTGTAGCTGCCATATCCGGTAATTAAGTAATTAGGTGCGTTGAGTGATAATCTGACGACGACTGTTACGCTAATGATAAAATGATGATGAAGATGACGATACTGATGATAATGATTACGACGGTGAGATCGTGACGATCCTGTGTGCCGCCGCACGTGCGTGTCAGTTAATTCGGACGAGTTGTGCTAAGATGTTGGGAGACGACGGGTCTAAAGAAAACAATAACAATTCATTACAATTATGTAATTATAAATAAGAGCAAGAGACGAAGAGTATTATAACACGTTGTTAATTGAATTAATAAAATTAGCCCAAAGTAATGGCTTGGCGTTTGATTCGAGCGAGATCCTCCAAGTATTATCACTCTTCATATCCTCATCACTTCTCGTTTTGCGCTTTATTTTTCCATATATATTTTTTTTTCTTTTGCAGATTCTGTTGAATGTGGAAGGATGGCGAATCTCTCAAGATTTAATGTTATACAGGCTATTATCCTATCTTGATCTTAATGATATTTACATACTTTCCTTCATCTTGAAGCTGAAGGTTTAATTGCCCGAGAAGCACGTACTAGTTGATCAATGGTTGGTTGCTATAGATTCTACATCTACCGTTATAGATTCAATATTGGCTCAATACATTGTGCTGCTGAAGTGATTTTTCTTAAAGAAAAACACTTTAGAATTATATAATATCTGATTATGTCAATATTCGTCAAAATGGGGAATTTTTCATATAATAAATAATTTCTCAATTAAATAACTTCATTATCCTCCCTAATAGAACTAAAGGATTCCAACACAATAAGTAGTATCAATAACATAACATCAATAACAATAATAAGTATCAATAACATAACATTGATGTCAAGTATCCTACATAACAATATAACTATTACACGATTATTGATACTTGCTGTTTACTAGAAACGCTCCAAGTGAATAGTCAGATATTATAGAAGTTTGCTGACATATTGAGTTTTTTTAAAGGAATTGTATTTGCAGAGATATATATTCAGGTAAATATAATGATTTATTAGAGGTATTATCCATAATTGAATGTGATAAGGATAAATAAATAAAGTTAAAAAGATGAACTTGAAGTGTGCGTAAAGAGAATGAATAAACACAACGAAAAAAGATAATTTAAAGGACGATAAGGAAAAAGAAATAATAAAAGTATGAGAATAAAAATGAAATAGCTTAAAAGTAAAAGAACTTATCTTAAAATTGTTAATAATGCTAAAGTAATTTTTATATCATTCCAAAACGTTTTTGACATGTTTTGTAAAATAATGTATTTTCTAGAATGGAGGATATGTAGAACATTTGTTACAGTAAAATCAAAAATACGTTTAGTATCCAAACAAACATTAAAATACGTTCTCTGTGTTTATCTACTCTTTCAAAAGCATTATAACTATTTTTTATAATAAAATAAGGACGTCTGGTCCGTCGTTGAGTAGTACTACTTGACAAAGCGAGATTGCGTCCAACTCATTGTTTAGTTGTACCACGATCTTAAGTGGGTAATACCGTTTCTCTGGTAAAAAATCGATTTTTCTTTTTTTACATTTTATTAAATTATGTATTTTTAAGAATCTATTCCTATTTATCGCATCGAAAAATTCGAAAAATTGTAAGCGTAAGTTACAGCCTATTATTCGAAGCGGCGGGCAGGTCGAATCCGGCGCTCACCGAGCCGTTTAAAATTTCGTCAGATATATGCCACAAAGATCCTATGAACCCTAGGTAACAAAAGAACGACTCGGATGTGTTTGCTTCATGGGCCTGGAATCGCTG